AATGACCCTAACAGATAGACCATCAGGGCGGGTAAAGCTCGACTAAGGGGTGACCGCTATGGAGGGTCGACCATGCAAGGGAACAAGGGAGCCTGGTATACTGGGCGCACCTAGATGAAGCATGTGGGGCTGCCTAACTAGGGCGTAAGCGCCGACAGAGGGTAGAAAGATGATGGGTAAGGGAATCATGCAGGTGACTCCTAAGCTGGGGAAGTCGGAGCTAGATTTGTAAGATGGGAAGCCAGGGCAACGCTACCGTCCCGATGCCTATGCGTATACCAAGGGAGAGCCCAACTCAGAGGAACCTGACTAAAGGGAGACCATCATACGACACAAGCAGGGTACTGTACAGGGTGAAGTGGTAAGAGTAGGCAGAGCTGATCGTGACGAAGTCCATGAAGCTGCTGATGATGTCCACGATGAGAAGTCTGGAATGTCGTCGAGGAAGAGCCGCAACATCGACGAACTGAAGTAGCAAAACTGGAGTGGATGGAGTACTGAGAAGTCAAAGACGTGGGAAGGTAAGTCGGAGTTAATCGTCGTATCGAGCAGGACGACGACGAGTGCGCTGTGGACGCTCGGAAGCATCCGACTGCTGCTGAAGGTCTGCCTAAGATGGAGCAGGCTCGACTTCAGCGGTCTCCTCAGCCGGGGGAGAAGGAGGAGGGTCAGTGGGCTGAGGAGGAGCAGTGAACCCAGCACGACGAGCACGGTCATAGGCACGCACCAACATGCGAGCGTGCTGCAAGTGCTCAAGGGGCTCCCAGGTAGCCTCCTCATCAGGGTAACCCTTCCAACGTACGAGATACTCGACGTGGCGAGGTTTGTCGTCGGTGACTCGGCGACCAATGATGTCTGAAACGAGGAACTCCTCGTGGCCGTCCACCATAATGGGCGGAGGGCGCTCGTATGGTTGTCCAACGAAACGCTCAGACGGTCTGCGGTAAGGACGCAGTAACGAGACGTGGTAGACATCGTGCACACGAGCCTGGCGTAGGTAGTCGGGCAGCTTCACACGAAAGCTGACCGGGCTAGATGCCGTATCAGAACCGACGGCCTGGAGGATGCGGCATGGGCCAAAGAAGCGACGCCGGAACTTGCGAAGCGTGTCCGCTTCGAGATGTAAGTGACGAGCGTCGATAAGCACATCATCACCGACTTTGAATGGATGATCCATCCTCGATCGGTTCGCACGTGCTGCCATGAGAGTCAGGGAAGCGGCTATATGCTCATGTGCGATCTTCATAATCGACGTCATGTGTGCAACCCAATCATCCAGCGCTGGACAACTCGTGTCGAGGTGCATCTGTGACGGTCGGGGGAAGTCCGCGGGGACACGAAGGTGATAGTCGAGGTCACAATAGTAAGGCGACATCCCTGTGGCTGGCGAGACGGCGTGGTTGTAGGCTATCTCCGCGTGGGCAAGATGGAGATCCTACTGCTGGTCGTCACGAACAATCTTTCGGAGGATATCTCCGAGAGTCCTGTTCGTGATCTCGGTCTGACCATCAGTCTGTGGATGGTAAGACGAAGAGAAGCGGAGCTAAGTGTCATATACCTTGTGGAGCCATCGCCAGAATCGGCTGGTAAAGCGCGGGTCACGGTCAGATATGATGCTCAGAGGTAAGCCGTGGTCACGCACGACTCGGTCAAACATGATGTCGGCGACCTCACGTGCACTGATGGCATAGCGGCACAGAACAAAGCGTGCACGCTTCGTGAAGCGGTCGAAGACGACCAGGATAGCATCATGACCGCGTGGGGTCGCAGGACGAAGAGGACCGATAAAGTCCATCGAGATGCATCGAGATGGACTGCCAACGACCCTCAGGGATAGGAAGAGGCTGGAGCAAACCATAAGGAAGGTGGTTCGCACTGTTCACCTCCTGGCAGGTGGGACACTCTGCGACGTAGTCCTTCACAAAGTCCTTGCGCTTCGGCCAAACGTACAGGCGGCTCACACGAGCCAACGTCTTGTGCAAGCCCATATGACCGGCGGCTGCCTGGTCATGGAACTCTGCTACTGATCGGACACGTAGCTGTCCAGTGGAGGGAACGCAAATACGGGGATCTCTGGTACCCTGTGAACCGTGCCAGTACACAAGACCGTTGTCCCCGAGAGAGTAGTTCGAGACGGTCTTGCCACTCCGAAGGGTCGCGTGGATGTCGCGATAGTCGGGGCAGTGGCAGTACTGAGTGCGAAACTCGTCGATCACCAAGTGGTGGACAGTAATGACCGAGATGGAAGAGAGCTGGATCTGCTCCTGGTCGTGGTCAGGGCGCCAGGATAAGGCATCTGCGACCGGAGTTGTCTCACCCTTGATGTGCTCAGTGGTGAAACTAAACTCGGATAGGTCGCGCCACCAGCGAGCCTATCGAGGAGTGAGCTTCGGCTTTGTCAGAAAAGGCTGGACAACAGAGTTGTCCGTACGCACCGTGAATGGTGCCCCGTGCAGGTAGTGACGCCAGTGCCGAGCGGCATAAACTACTGCGAGAACCTCACGTTCACCAGCAGTGTAGTTTATCTCGGCGGGCAGGAGCTGACGGGAGTAGAAGGCTATCGGACAATCACCTGAGCGAGACTCGACAGTGTCGTCTTCGGCGATGGTAGGAGAATAGTCAATAGAAGGCTCGTCAGTAGCTGGACGAGTAGACGTTTGTCGGGAATCAGTGGTAGGGGTAGGTGGTGGAAAGCGAGGGATACGAGGATGAGAGGAATCAGGAGATGAGGGGAAGACCTGAGAAAGCACTGCTCCTACAACGAAGTCTGACGCATCGGTGGTAAGGATAAAAGGGCGGTCAAAATCGGGTAGGTGAAGAACTGGTGCTCATGTCACCGCCTTCTTGAGGGCGCGGAAGGCGTCCTCGTGGAGGGGTGTCCAAGCCCAGGGTGGGTTCTTCCGGAGGAGGGTGGAGGTAAGGACGTAGGAATACCTAGCGTATCCCCGGATGAAATTGCTATAGTAGTTGGTCAGGCCTAGGAAGCTGCGAAGCTGCTTGGCGGATGTGGGGACGGGCCACTCCGCAATAGCAGTGATCTTCGCGTCGTCCATGTGGAGACCCTGGTCAGACACGTAGTGTCCTAAGAAATCCACTTTGTGCTGGGCAAAGCGGCACTTGCTCAGCTTGGCGTAGAAGCCATGTCTGCGAAAGCGGTCAAGGACATCGCGGAGGTGTCTGAGGTGCTCCTCAAGGGTACGACTATAGACCAGGATATCGTCGAGGTAGACGAGAACGTACTGCTCCAGGATGTGTCTGAAGATGTCGTTCATCGCCCTCTGGAAGGTAGCGGGTGCATTGGTGAGGCCGAGTGGCATCACCTTAAACTAGTAGTGGCCGAAGCACGATCGGAACGGTGTCTTCGACTGGTCGGCTGCAGCGATGTGGATTTGATGGTAACCGCTACGAAGGTCAATCTTCGTAAAGAAGCGGTTGCCTGCTAGGCGGTCGAACAGCTCATCGGAACGAGGCATGGGGTAGTTGTTCTTAACCATGCAGCGTTTGAGACTGCGATAGTCGATGCAGAGACGAAGAGTTTCATCCGCTTTGCGAGCAAAGAGGACGGGTGCACCCCACGGGGAGTTGCTGGGCTTAATGAAACCCAGTCTCAGGAGCTCCTCAAGCTGACGCTTGAGTTCGGTGGCCTCGGGGATCGAGAGTCTGTAGGGTGCCTGGTGGTGAACACAGTAGTCAGGCACAAGCTAACTGGAGTGCTCGACGTCATACATCGGTGGGATGCCGGCCTACAAGAACGACGATGGGAAAACGTCGTGGCATTCTCGGATGAGGTCACGAACTACGGGCTCCAGGTCAACCGTATATCGTGCGTGCTCCTCAGCGTCAGCGTCAGCGTCAGCGTCAGCGAGCGACGGCGGGGTGGACTCGACGGACGGCGGAGGGACGGAAGTAGAGATGGGAGCCATGGAGATAGAAGGAGGATCTGGCTCCAGAGGGATGAGCTCGACGTCGGGACAGGGTGGATCATAGTGTAAGAGATCCGTCACGTCACCCATAAAGAAGGTGACGTCGTCCTGTCGGATGAAGTGGGCGAACTGCCGAGGTGAGGTGACAGTGATGGAAGGGGATGGTGTGGGCACGGAAGGCTTCAGGGGAGGAGGATCGGGGCGTGGTGTCGCAGTGGTACCTATGAAAGGTACGCGATACGTCTATCCACACTTCGTTTTGAGAACGAGAGTGTTGATCGCCCAATCGGCCTCGGTGCTGTGGAACCGACAAGACCACGGAGTGCCGAGAATGAAGTCGTACCCCGTCTCCATCACATCCAAATGTGCAGAGGAGCGGTGGCTACGAGACGCCGGGAACGATCAGTCAGCTCGAGGGTGAGGAAGAAAGGGAGATCGGTGACCGTCTGATCAAAGAAGCGCTGGGTCTTGTCATCCCTGAGCGTGACAAAGATGGGAGACGGAGACCCGGTCGTAGGTAAGCGGGCTTCTTTCACCACACGGGGGTAAATGAAGTCGCCCTGAGAACCGAAATCCCACAACGCTGAGTACACCCTCGTGGAGGTCCCCAATCGTACTGGGATGATCGGAAGGGTGCGATCAGGAACATAGAGGATGGTGATAAGGCGACGCAGGGCGGCGACATGGAGAGTGAATCGCTACTGACGAGCCGGGAGCATGCTCAAGTCCAGAAAAGAGGACACAACGTCCTCGCGAGTAGCGAGCTGCTCGCTACAAAGGCCTGAGCGAACGGCTCGACGCGTCGGTAGTCGCGGCGGGGAAGGAGGGGAGATGGTGGTTTGCGGAGGCGCAGACGGTACTGCGACAGAGGGCTGAGTACACTCTGTCAAGTCCTGCGATACCTCAGCTCAAGTAGCGAGAGGGGCGAACCTCGACGGAGATGTCAGGAAACCGACTACTGAGGAGGGCGCAGGTGTACACTGCACCGTGGCTAGGAGGCGCCGCGGAGACGTGAGGCGTCGGGGGGGACTGAGCACGATGCTGACAAGAAAGGTCAGCGTAGTGGCGGTCGAGGGCGGTAGTGTAAGGGCACCGCGAGGAGGTATGACCGTCCAAGCGGCAGCGCAAACACCCACGCCGGCCCAGAATACCCGCGCGCTACTCAGCGGAAAGGACACCACGAGGAGGGACGAAGCCCTGAGGTAGGTCCTCCTGAGGGATCCTCGGGGGGCAACGCGCCAGCGTGACCAGGGCGGCTGTGTGCCCGAGAGAGGGCGGAGAGCGCGAGCTGAAGGCGCTCAACTGTAAGGAGGGTAGAGTCCTCCAAGTGATAGTGGACGGCCTCGCAGACATCAAAGGCGTCGCTGTGGTCGCCTTCAGGTGACAGTGGGGCAACAGCGTCCTGCTCACCATACTCCAGCGCGCTGAAGCGGCGCGAGAAGTGGCGGCCCTGCTGCGTGGAACGGCGGGGGCGACCGCGGAAAGGGGAACGGCACTGGGAAGTGCCGTGAGAGGAGGAGGCGTAGCTCGTGCAGTGGGGCTGGGAGGAGGAGGCGGGGTGAAGACGGGCTTGCATCCGCTGGTGGTCCCTGGCGGCCTCGTAAGCCTGTGGGGCCGATGTGAACTCGTACCGCCATAGCTCGGAGTGGTACTCGAGCGGAAGGCTGGCCAAGAAATGATCGATAAGGGCAGCCTCGGGGAGGAACGCCACGTCACAAACGAGGCGGGCGTCCTGAAAGACCTGGATGTGGCGATCCAGGCCGGCAGCGCCACCAGAGTCGGACTAGCGTGTAGTGACGACACGCTCGAAGGCGTCACTCACATCGTATCAGGCTCCTAAGCGATCCTCGAGGAACGCCTGGAAATCCACGAAGGTCGGAGTCTGACCCTCACGAAGGGAGCAGGCATAAAAATCCTCCCAGGCCTCAAAAGGACCGCCACGTAGGCGCGTGGAGAGGTGACCCACCCACGTCTCGGGTGTGGCGCCCATGAGCTGGAGTGTGCGGGTGGCAGACTGCAGCCACCGAGACACGCGTATGCCTGTACTGTCATACAAGGCAATGTCCGACAAGCGGATGAGTGGTGCGCCACCGTTTTGGCGGTAAGGGGATCGAGGAGTGGAGGCCTGTGCCACGGCTGAGTAAGTCGGCGCAGGTCCTGGAGAAAGGGGCGCAACTGACTGTGCGTCCGGGCCGCATGGGGGAGCGGCGGTGGCAACAGCGGCAGGCTGCGAGGGTGCTGCGGTAGAAGAGGTCGCAGCAACCGCAGGAATAAGAAGAAGGCAGGAAGGAGTTGTATAGGGTGCAGGGCGCAGAAAGCGAGCCTACATGGGAGGAAGGGTAGAGGAGGTAGGGGGTGCGCCCGAAGGTGCGGCCACCTGTGAGGGTGGGGGTGGCTAAAGGCGTAAGAGGGTGAGGTCAGCCCGGAGCTGGGCAACCTCGAACGTAGGTCGATCGAGGGGTGGCAGGAGGAAGAGTGCAGGGGGTGGACACACAAGCGGCGCAGGGCATCCCAGAGGGGGGAGAGCCAGGTGGCGCTGCGGTCGTGCGAAGGGGAGGGAGAAGCGGGGCACCCGAAAAAGCTGAGACCATGGTAGCGGGTTGTTGTACCGTGGCCATAGTGACTGGGATCTGGGCGGGTGCGCCCGTAGACTGAGGGAGGGCCTGGCTCGTGGCGGCCGTCGTGCTAGGGGCGTGGACAGTCACCAAGATGGCCGGGTCAGGGGCAACGGAGGAGGAAGCTCCGCCGTGGCTACCTTGGGGGACCCGGACTGGGAGCCAAGAGATGACGGACACACAGCGTCCTGGAGTTGCTGCATGTCGGTGGCAAGGGTTGCCACCTGCGCCTGTAAGGGCGCGAGGGTCGCGAGTTGCGCCTGGATGGGCGCAAGGAGGGAGGTGAGGAGGGTGTGTAGATCCCCTTGGGGCTGATGGCCCTTGTCTGCCGGCACGGGTATGGAGCCCGATGTCGTGGTCATCGCCGTGTCGGCGGCGTGTGACACACCGTCGGCCATGGACAGATGACAGGTTGGACTGGAGGGGACCAGAAGAGGTCCGCGTGAGCGGAGGGCGTAGGGGGAAGTCCTCGGTAGAAAGCGGCGAACGGCGCTAGCAAGGCTAGCACGGGCGCCGTCAAAGGGGGAGGGGTGGTTCGGGTCCAGGGTGCCCGAAGAAGACGGGGAAG